TATCTCCTTACTTGTTTATAATTCTATCTGAAGCATTATCAAATCTCATAAAACAAGACAGTTGTCTTCATGGTTTCAAGGGTCTGAAGATTAACAAAAATTCTCCTGTTGTTTCTCACCTATTTTTTGCCGATGTCTCTCTTATTTTGGGTCAAGTGGATTCCTCTCATGCTACTATGCTTTTGAATATCTTAAAGTCACATTTCACTGCTTTAGGTCAGGTTGTAAATATGTCTAAGTCTAGTATTTTATTTTCCATTAATTCTTCCTCTGAGTTGAAAGCCTCCACCTGCCATATTTTTTGTGGTATTGGAGTTGTGAAATCTTCCAGGTATTTGGGGTTACCCCTGGGAATGGAAAAAAAGAAGAGATTTAATTTTGTTAGGCAGTGTGTGATTTCCAAAATTTTCAGTTGGAAGAATAGATTTTTGAGTGAGACAAGGAAATAGGTTCTTATAAAGTCTGTTCTTAATTCCCTCCCTGTTTATGTCACGTTTGTGTTCAAAATTCATTTGGGGGTTTGTGTGGATATTTTTGGAGTGATTGTTAGCATTTGGTGGGGTTAAAATGAGAAGGGTAAGGATAGAATCCATTAGGCTAGTTGGGAGAAGTTAGCTAAATCCAAATTAGATGTGGGCTTGGGGTTTGAGCAGTTTGGGGCAATGAATGATGCTCTTATATTAAAGCAAATGTGGAGGGTTCTTACATGTCCTAATCTCTTAATATGTAAAGTCATTAGGGGCAAGTATTTTCACAATCAAAACCTAATGAATGTTACTAAGAAAAACTCAAATTCATGGATGTGGAAGAGTTGGCTGGGGGTGAGACCGTACTTGAAGTTGGGTCTTATGTATCAGATTGGTAATGGTTTGAGTGTAAAGATTTGGGAGCACCCTTGGATTTCAAACTCTCCTAATTTTACTCCATTGTGCAACTTTCAGAGTGATAGAATTTCCTTATATAGAGTCTTTGATCTGTTTGCGGCAGGGGAGAAATGTTGGAATGAAGAGCTTGTTAGACAATCTTTTAGCCTTGTTGATGCTGAAAATATTCTTAAGATTTATATTAGTCAATGGGAGTGAGGGGTAGGTTAGTTTGGGATGCTGATAATAAGGGTAGATTGATAGTTAAGGGGGCTTATAACTTGATCTTGACAAAGGCCAGAGAATTGTTGGTTAGAGATGAAGTCAGTGGAAGCACAAACATCAAACAAACCGTGTGGAGAAGAACTTGGCTCTACCACTTAAACCAAAACTCAAGACATTTCTATGGAGATGTTGGCATGGCTACTTTGAAACAAAAGCAAGACTCATACAAAAAGGTGTTGAAGGAGATGAAATCTGCTGTTGGTGTGGAGCTGCTAAAGAAGATCTGGATCATCTCTTTTTTACTTGTTACAGAGCTGTAAAAGTGTGGAATATAGCATGACTGGAATGGGTTAGAATGCAACAACCACTCATCACATTTCAGGAATGGTGGGAAGACCTCTGTTCAATTCCCAACGGTCAGAACTACACAGACAAAGTAAGTACTTCCACTTATATTTTGTGGTGGTTGTGGAGAACAAGGAATAATTGGGTTTTTAGGGGAGGATTTACTAAGGAGTAGATGCTGGTGCAAAGGGCTAAAAATGAATGGATGGAGTTTGTAGAAATCCAACAGGAAGTCAAGAATGCAAATGCAAATGGGGCCCAGACACAGATGGTTGGCACAACAGATGGGAGCACAAGAGTAGGACATCATGTGGCTGAACTCAGTGCTATATGCTCACAATCTGGAGATTTCAATCTAAGGGGCAGGGTTTTTAAAAATGAGATGGAAATAGCATACTGAAAGTTTCAACAGTGCCAGGATAAGTATTCTAAGGCGGACACCATGTTACAGATAAGACAATGGCTTGGGCAGTGTATCACAGCAGGTTGGGACAAGGTGCAATTGCAGTTTAAAGATCATAACTTGTGCTCTAAAATCCATAATCCTCTTCATGTTTTTCATGTAACTTGAATGTTGTTGTGGAAGACATTGTGTTTCTTCTTTCATGTTTTCCTTCTTATTCTGTGTTAATTGTTTGTGTGTATTATTTCAACCGGTGTGGTCTTGTAAGGGGGATCCTGGTTGGGTCCCTCGTAGGGTTCTAGTGGCTAGTTAGTCATTACGGCCTTAGTAGTCCATTGATTACACGAACATTTGTATGTTAGAGTGTTAAAAAAAAAAACGACTCATGAAAAAAATATTGTAATATAATTAAAATTTATAAAATTACAATTTGGTCCATAAAGCTTACTAATTTTCCAATATCACAACCCAAATCCAACTCACTAGCGATTTGTTGAAACTCAACCACTCATTGAAATTGTAACTAGGGGTGTTTATGGTTCGATTGGTCCGGTTTTAGCCCAAACCATGACTAAATCGGACCTAACGGTTAATTTTTTTTCTTGTCCATAACAGGACCGATTTTATTTTTTAAC